GTAGGTCCTTGTGTAGGTCCTTGTGTTGGTCCTTGTGTTGGTCCTTGTGTAGGTCCTTGTGTTGGTCCTTGTGTTGGTCCTTGTGTTGGTCCTTGTGTTGGTCCTTGTGTTGGTCCTTGTGTTGGTCCTTGTGTAGGTCCTTGTGTAGGTCCTTGTGTAGGTCCTTGTGTTGGTCCTTGTGTTGGTCCTTGTGTTGGTCCTTGTGTAGGTCCTTGTGTAGGTCCTTGTGTTGGTCCTTGTGTAGGTCCTTGTGTAGGTCCTTGTGTAGGTCCTTGTGTTGGTCCTTGTGTAGGTCCTTGTGTAGGTCCTTGTGTAGGTCCTTGTGTTGGTCCTTGTGTAGGTCCTTGTGTAGATCCTTGTGTTGGTCCTTGTGTTGGTCCTTGTGTTGGTCCTTGTGTAGGTCCTTGTGTTGGTCCTTGTGTTGGTCCTTGTGTAGGTCCTTGTGTTGGTCCTTGTGTAGGTCCTTGTGTAGGTCCTTGTGTAGGTCCTTGTGTTGGTCCTTGTGTAGGTCCTTGTGTTGGTCCTTGTGTAGGTCCTTGTGTAGGTCCTTGTGTAGGTCCTTGTGTAGGTCCTTGTGTAGGTCCTTGTGTAGGTCCTTGTGTAGGTCCTTGTGTTGGTCCTTGTGTAGGTCCTTGTGTTGGTCCTTGTGTAGGTCCTTGTGTAGGTCCTTGTGTAGGTCCTTGTGTAGATCCTTGTGTAGGTCCTTGTGTAGATCCTTGTGTAGGTCCTTGTGTAGGTCCTTGTGTAGGTCCTTGTGTTGGTCCTTGTGTAGGTCCTTGTGTTGGTCCTTGTGTAGGTCCTTGTGTAGGTCCTTGTGTTGGTCCTTGTGTAGGTCCTTGTGTAGGTCCTTGTGTAGGTCCTTGTGTAGGTCCTTGTGTAGGTCCTTGTGTAGGTCCTTGTGTAGATCCTTGTGTAGGTCCTTGTGTTGGTCCTTGTGTAGGTCCTTGTGTAGGTCCTTGTGTAGGTCCTTGTGTAGGTCCTTGTGTAGGTCCTTGTGTAGATCCTTGTGTAGGTCCTTGTGTTGGTCCTTGTGTAGGTCCTTGTGTAGGTCCTTGTGTAGGTCCTTGTGTTGGTCCTTGTGTAGGTCCTTGTGTAGGTCCTTGTGTAGGTCCTTGTGTTGGTCCTTGTGTAGGTCCTTGTGTAGATCCTTGTGTTGGTCCTTGTGTTGGTCCTTGTGTTGGTCCTTGTGTAGGTCCTTGTGTTGGTCCTTGTGTTGGTCCTTGTGTAGGTCCTTGTGTTGGTCCTTGTGTAGGTCCTTGTGTAGGTCCTTGTGTAGGTCCTTGTGTTGGTCCTTGTGTAGGTCCTTGTGTTGGTCCTTGTGTAGGTCCTTGTGTAGGTCCTTGTGTAGGTCCTTGTGTTGGTCCTTGTGTAGGTCCTTGTGTAGGTCCTTGTGTAGGTCCTTGTGTAGGTCCTTGTGTAGGTCCTTGTGTAGGTCCTTGTGTAGGTCCTTGTGTAGATCCTTGTGTAGGTCCTTGTGTAGGTCCTTGTGTAGGTCCTTGTGTAGGTCCTTGTGTAGGTCCTTGTGTAGGTCCTTGTGTAGATCCTTGTGTAGGTCCTTGTGTTGGTCCTTGTGTAGGTCCTTGTGTAGGTCCTTGTGTAGGTCCTTGTGTTGGTCCTTGTGTAGGTCCTTGTGTAGGTCCTTGTGTAGGTCCTTGTGTTGGTCCTTGTGTAGGTCCTTGTGTAGATCCTTGTGTTGGTCCTTGTGTTGGTCCTTGTGTTGGTCCTTGTGTAGGTCCTTGTGTTGGTCCTTGTGTTGGTCCTTGTGTAGGTCCTTGTGTTGGTCCTTGTGTAGGTCCTTGTGTAGGTCCTTGTGTAGGTCCTTGTGTTGGTCCTTGTGTAGGTCCTTGTGTTGGTCCTTGTGTAGGTCCTTGTGTAGGTCCTTGTGTAGGTCCTTGTGTAGATCCTTGTGGTAGATCCTTGTGGTAGATCCTTGTGGTAGATCCTTGTGGTAAATCCTTGTGATAGATCCTTGTGTTGATCCTTGTGTTGATCCTTGTGTTGATCCTTGTGTTGATCCTTGTGGTAGATCCTTGTGGTAGATCCTTGTGGTAGATCCTTGTGGTAGATCCTTGTGGTAGATCCTTGTGGTAGATCCTTGTGTAGATCCTTATGTTGATGGTAGACCCCCAGCACCAGTGGACCCCTTGTGTTGATGGTAGACCCCCAGTGCCAGTGGACCCCTTGTGTTGATGGTAGACCCCAGCACCAGTGGACCCCTTGTGTTGATGGTAGACCCCAGCACCAGTGGACCCCTTGTGTTGGTGGTAGACCCCAGCACCAGTGGACCCCTTATGTTGATGGTAGACCCCAGCACCAGTGGACCCCTTGTGTTGGTGGTAGACCCCAGCACCAGTGGACCCCTAGAGTTCAGTAGAGACTCAAGATGCTGGCACTGTTTCCTGCCGGGGGAGGAGGAGGGTGGTCACCTCACCAGTATAGATAATACCTGAATTTACCTGAGAACCACTAACACTATTGGCCTCGACTAGGGCAGGAAGCCGGAGGCTTGTCGAAGGTCCCTCTATTTGCCTTGATCTTTTCCAGCTGTACTTTAAAAGTTAAGAGTTTCAGCATTTACGACTTCGGCGGGTAGGCCGTTCTATAGGTTTATAACCCAGTGGGTACAGAAGCATCTCCTATTCTCAGTCCTACATTGTGGCTTGTTGAGCCTGAAACCGTTGCTCATTGTTTGTGTCGCATCTGACCTTTTTGAAAAAATTTCCTGTATCAGTTTCCTTAAAATGGTTCAATATTTTAAAAGCTTCAATGAGATCCGCCCTGTCATGCTTGGTTTGCAGTATTTTTATCCCTGTGGTCCCCAACCGTTCCTGATACGTGAGTTGACTTAGCTCTGGAATTATTTTTGTTGCCCGGTGTTGCTCCTTCTCCAGAGCAGCTATGTCCTTCTGAAGATGTGGTCTCCATGCATGGATACAGTAATCCAAATGGGGGCGCATCAGAGATTTATACAAATGCATCAAAGAGTATAATGCAATCTGCAGCAAGCTGGGCTGCTGTTCGTCCCGGACAATCTGTCATGTTTTCCTCCACCCTCCCCAGAACCTCCTCTTGAAACACGATTAGGCTATTTATGTCGTGCTTGCATTCGTCTTAATCTACCGGGAGCAGGAACCCCACTTACGCCTGACGCTCTCTCTCTCTCATCTCCCTCTTCTCTGGCCTTTCATGTCTGTGTGTGGGGGACTGGTCGTGTGATCTCACACTAACACATTCCAAATATATTTAGAGATTTTGAATAATAACATTACTTTTTTTTGGCCGAAATGGGCTAAGGGACATGGCAACACCGTTATGTGTCAAGGGACATGACATATGACCCTTGACACCGTCATGTGTCAAGGGACATGACACCTCCGTCATATGTCAAGGGACATGACATATGACCCTTGACACCGTTATGTGTCAAGGGACATGACACCACCGTCATGTGTCAAGGGACATGACACCACCGTCATGTGTCAAGGGACATGACACCACCGTCATGTGTCAAGGGACATGACACCACCGTCATGTGTCAAGGGACATGACACCACCGTCATGTGACCTCAAAACCCGTTCACTAAGACTGATGTCACGTGTCACCCGAGAAAGCTGTCACCTGTGACCCCAGGACATTACCACGTGTCACCCAGGATGTATTGACGTGTCGGCCCAGGTTGTCTTGTGACACCCCAGGACGGTGTCCTCACACTCCAGGACGTCATCTTGAAGTTATCTTGAGATGATTTCGGGGCTCAGCGTCCCCGCGGCCCGGTTCTCGACCAGGCCTCCTTTTTGCTACACACACCCAGGAAGCAGCCCGTAGCAGCTGCCTAACTCCCATGTACCTATTTACTGCTAGGTGAACATTTGTTTCCGCCTCCGCCGGGGATCAAACACGCAACCTTAGGACTATGAATCCCGAGTGCTGTCCACTCAGCCGTCTGGCCCCCGGTGTCATCAGGTGTCTCCCCTAACTCATCGATAGGGACACCACCATCACCACCGCCAACATCACCACCACAATCACCATCACCGTCGACCAAGGCGTGACCTTGGAGCTCCGTCCAAGAATAGTGACGGTTGAGGTGGTGGTTCCCCGTCACCACACCACCGTCACCACACCACCGTCACCACACCACCGTCACCACACCACCGTCACCACGTCACACATCACACAACAGCTGTCAGTACACCACATCTCCGTGATCACAACCTTCCTCCATCCCTGTCACTACAACATTAGCCATCATCACATCCCTCAGATGAATGTATGAACATATTGCATAAGTTTTCCGTTCGGAAGTTTGGAAAGCGAAGAGAACATGCGCCAACCCCTTCTCGCACTTTCGTATAGTCAATATTGACTTATTAAATACGTGCATATGTGACATACTAAACATACTAGCTTACCTTGAAAAGCTTCATAGAAAACACCGACCTTACCTAACCTTCTTAGTATGTTAAGATAAGCATCTTATTGCTTCGTAATTACAATTATTACTTAACCTATTATAGGTATATTTAACCTATTATAGGTATAGGTTAAGTAATAATTGTAATTACGAAGCAATAAGATGCTTATCTTAACATACTGGGGAGCCGGTCGGCCGAGCGGACAGCACACTGGACTTGTGATCCTGTGGTCCCGGGTTCGATCCCAGGCGCCAGCGAGAAACGATGGGCAGAGTTTCTTTCATCCTATGCCCCTGTTACCTAGCAGTAAATAGGTACCTGGGTGTTAGTCAGCTGTCACGGGCTGCTTCCTGGGGGTGGAGGCCTGGTCAAGGACCGGGCCGCGGGGACACTAAAAAAAAGCCCCGAAATCAACTCAAGATAACCTACTAAGAAGGTTAGGTAAGGTCGGTGTTTTCTATGAAGCTTTTCAAGGTAAACTAGTATGTTTAGTATGTCACATATGCACGTATTTAATAAGTCAATATTGACTGTAAGAAAGTGCGAGAACGGGTTGCATGCGCACTGGAAGAGCGATTGTCGTCATGACTGATGTTCTTGTTGATCAAGGTGACCTCGGCTTGTTCTGTCGTCACTATACTTGACCCCTGGTAACCCTTGAAACACTCTGCTTATGTTGACCAAACACCACGACGACGACGTTTCGTCGTGATACAATCGACTTGATAATGGTCCAGGATGGACCGAAACGTCGTCGTCTCTTTAATTTCTAGTGTGTGGTTTGGTCAACATTTTTCAGCCACGTTATTGTGAGTTTTCATCTGCACTCTGCTTATGTATTTCAAGAGTTTCGTCATAAAAGTTTAAGTAGAAGATTAAGGAAGTGGTTTTCGGTAACTGTTAGGTCGGATGGCGCGTTTTAGCCTCATTAAAACATTAACAGAATTTTACGGATGATGTTAAAGCCAGTCACCGGAATGAAAAAGTTATTATTAAGTTAGATTATATTAATTTATGTAAACTGATTCAAGCACCTCTGATGATTCTGGCACCCAAGACATTGACCACTTACGGGCTCACCATAGCCCGTGCTACTTGGTACATTTTGTTCAGAGTAGCTGAATCTAAAAAAACAATAAGACATTGAATTTAATGTTAAGTGAAAGAGGGTGTAACATATGGAGAAAACGTATAGTAACAAGTGACAACAAACGGACACTAAAAACTATAGACACAACTTTAATTTACAAAGAAGTTAGCACAACAATGGTAAAAACCTCCAGACTGATCCGACACGTAGCCAGGCTGTGAACTTCATGGAAAAGAACTCGCTCAACGGGGCTTTAAGGTAAGAATATATTGTATATCTCAGGCTCAGCCGAGAAATACAATATCTTTATTGTATTCCACTTTGCTGACCCTCGGCCTACCCAGCCCTCGAGGGGTCATCAGAGGGGCGGCCTACCCAGCCCTCGAGGGGTCATCAGAGGGGCGGCCTACCCAGCCCTCGAGGGGTCATCAGAGGGGCGGCCTACCCAGCCCTCGAGGGGTCATCAGAGGGGCGGCCTACCCAGCCCTCGGGGGGTCATCAGAGGGGCGGCCTACCCAGCCCTCGGGGGGTCATCAGAGGGGCGGCCTACCCACCCCTCGGGGGGTCATCAGGGGGCGGCCTACCCAGCCCTCGAGGGGTCATCAGAGGGGCGGCCTACCCAGCCCTCGAGGGGTCATCAGAGGGGCGGCCTACCCAGCCCTCGGGGGGTCATCAGAGGGGCGGCCTACCCAGCCCTCGAGGGGTCATCAGAGGGGCGGCCTACCCAGCCCTCGGGGGGTCATCAGAGGGGCGGCCTACCCAGCCCTCGAGGGGGTCATCAGAGGGGCGGCCTACCCAGCCCTCGGGGGGTCATCAGAGGGGCGGCCTACCCAGCCCTCGAGGGGTCATCAGAGGGGCGGCCTACCCCATCCCTCGAGGGGGTCATCAGAGGGGCGGCCTACCCAGCCCTCGAGGGGGTCATCAGAGGGGCGGCCTACCCAGCCCTCGAGGGGGTCATCAGAGGGGCGGCCTACCCAGCCCTCGAGGGGGTCATCAGAGGGGCGGCCTACCCAGCCCTCGAGGGGTCATCAGAGGGGCGGCCTACCCCAGCCCTCGAGGGGGTCATCAGAGGGGCGGCCTACCCAGCCCTCGAGGGGGTCATCAGAGGGGCGGCCTACCCAGCCCTCGAGGGGTCATCAGAGGGGCGGCCTACCCAGCCCTCGAGGGGTCATCAGAGGGGCGGCCTACCCCAGCCCTCGAGGGGGTCATCAGAGGGGCGGCCTACCCAGCCCTCGAGGGGTCATCAGAGGGGCGGCCTACCCAGCCCTCGAGGGGTCATCAGAGGGGCGGCCTACCCAGCCCTCGAGGGGTCATCGGAGGGGCGGCCTACCCAGCCCTCGAGGGGTCATCAGAGGGGCGGCCTACCCCAGCCCTCGAGGGGTCATCAGAGGGACGGCCTACCTAGCCCTCGAGGGGTCATCAGAGGGGCGGCCTACCCAGCCCTCGAGGGGTCATCAGAGGGGCGGCCTACCCAGCCCTCGAGGGGTCATCAGAGGGGCGGCCTACCCAGCCCTCGAGGGGTCATCGGAGGGGCGACCTACCCAGCCCTCGAGGGGTCATCAGAGGCAGCTGCACTAGAAATAAAGTCACTGCTTGCTGGGACATCAAGTGCATTACTTCAAAGCACTTTGCAATCTACAAGTTTTTGTGTGCCAGGTGAGAAAGAGGGGCACTTGCAGAGGGTGGTGTGTCAACCTCCGCTCCACACCCTGGCTATTAAATCACTTGCTGGCTTTCATCTCATGGCGACACTAGTCAAAACACATCAACAGGCTGCTGAATTAATGAGTGTCGGGTACACATCGGTCATCTATATGCCATAAGCAAAATATTTTGTATTGGTGTTAAGTTAGTTTACTGGTTACGTCAAAGTTGGCTACAGAGAGACCATTCAACACTTACCATGAAGAACCACAAGACTGAAGTTTGTAAATCCTCTCCGCTCGTCTTTATGGGTGGATCAGTAAGACCATATCCGAGACACAGTGCACAGGCGTTCACTGTGACATCACAAGCTTCACTATACCTCTCGTTTCATCAGAGGTGGTCACAGTCGAACACGATCCCCTCTCGAAAACGCACACACCAGGTATGACACTAATAAGGCACGTTGGTGAGGCGGGGGCGTATATAGGCCTGCCAGAGTGGTGAAGTATGTGCGGGCGGGCCAGCAGCACCCGGCGGGTGTGTGGGTGGTGGGCGTGGTAACAGCGGCTGATGGTGGTGAGTTCCGCCTCAACACTGACTAGGCTCTTCAACAACACGTGGTGGATGGGAAAGACCGCTCTCACCCGTCTCGGTGCCACTCTCCTCCTCTCACTTCCCACGCCGGCCGGGCGCAGTGCGGGTGCCAGCGTAAGGTGCCAACCTTCAACCCACACAGGCGGCGTTCACCACCACTAGAGCGGGCAGGAGAGTGCAGTACAGCAGTAGGAGCACCAACAGCAGTGGTGGTGGTGGTCCCAGCCAGGCGGGGAGGAGCCGCCACCACTACACCAGCCACGAGGCACACTAAAAATACCTTGAGGCTGCTGGTGCTGCCCTTGCCTGGCACCCTCGCTCCCTCCCTCTTCCTGTCTTCCTGTCGCACCCTAACCCTTATCTTCCCTACCTTACATACCCACCTCTCCATCTTAAATGTCTAAAAAAGGAACTACAACCAGAAAACCATTGTAGGAATCACATCGCCCTCCGGCCGGCAGAGATTGCTCTTGGTAGCCGAAGAGCATTATCATAGTGACGGGCCGTCAGCTCGCGACGCTGCTCACCTCCACCTGAGAGGGTTCACCTCACACCCCATCCTCACCCTCTCTCACCACAACCTCAACCTAGCATCTCTCATCTTGGAAGCGTGTCTGCCTCCCATTTGCAACGAGAGAACCTAAGAATAAGCCCAGGGAGGATGTATTTGCGGCTCTTACCCTATGAAACCCGAGAGCGCCATCGTGTCATCGACCTGGGTATATAAAGAAAACTTGAATATCGACATTCAATACTATTTTGTCGTTTCGCGCATAAAAGAAAACATTTCACTGATTCTCCGCAGAAAATAATTTAAACTTCGTCCTCTTATTCACGAAACTATATTAAAATATGAACATTAAGGAGTTCCAATTCCAATATTTTTTGTTCCCGGTGAGCGGTATGGGCGACTGAGAGTTTATTATGATGGCGGGAGAACTGCTCGCCCACAACAACAGTGGAAGGTGATGATGCGCACACTACACCATCCCTCACTATACTGGTATACCACACCGCCCCCTTACTATACTGGTATACCACACCGTCCCTTACTATACTGGTATACCACACCACCCCTCACTATACTGGTATACCACACCGCCCCCTTACTATACTGGTATACCACACCACCCCCTTACTATACTGGTATACCACACCATCCCCTTACTATACTGGTATACCACACCACCCCTCACCATACTGGTATACCACACCACCCCTCACCATACTGGTATACCACACCACCCCTCACCATACTGGTATACCACACCACCCCTCACCATACTAGTATACCACACCACCCCTCACCATACTAGTATACCACACCACCCCTCACCATACTAGTATACCACACCACCCCTCACCATACTAGTATACCACACCACCACTCACTATACTGGTATACCACACCACCCCTCACCATACTAGTATACCACACCACCCCTCACTATACTGGTATACCACACCGCCCCTCACTATACTGGTATACCACACCACCCCTCACTATACTGGTATACCACACCACCCCTCACTATACTAGTATACCACACCACCCCTCACCATACTGGTATACCATATACCAACCCGTTCACTACACTAGCAGTCTACAGGCAGTAATATTCCGGGAACATCAACAAATTCTTGTAGACTTGAGGAAAATTGAAAGTCACACCAGTTCCTCCATCTATCATTCTATTATGCAGGAAGTAGCGCACGTCTATGGGTCATAAGGTTAGCAGACTTCTAGATGTTACCACTGCTAGGCTTAGGCTCGGCTACAAGTACCTCTGGGAGTTTGCAACATCTGCTGATGTAGATTTGACTAAATGTAAACTCTGTCAGCAGAACTATTCGCATACTTTGCGTCATTATATAATGGAATGTGAAAAAATCGCGGAATTCAGAGATAACACCATCAATGGAGTCCAAGAAATGTGTAAGTTCTTCATTCATAATGATGTGCTGTTTGGAATCTTAGCGAAGTATCCATTATTTGCTTACTGTAGGTGCAGCCTGCACATGACTGTAAAGCTGCCGCCCAGTTGGGTGGGTGTGGAGCACATGACTGTAAAGCTGCCGCCCAGTTGGGTGGGTGTGGAGTACATGACTGTAAAGCTGCCGCCCAGTTGGGTGGGTGTGGAGCACATGACTGTAACGCTGCCGCCCAGTTGGGTGGGTGTGGAGCACATGACTGTAAAGCTGCCGCCCAGTTGGGTGGGTGTGGAGCACATGACTGTAAAGCTGCCGCCCAGTTGGGTGGGTGTGGAGCACATGACTGTAAAGCTGCCGCCCAGTTGGGTGGGTGTGGAGCACATGACTGTAAAGCTGCCGCCCAGTTGGGTGGGTGTGGAGCACATGACTGTAAAGCTGCCGCCCAGTTGGGTGGGTGTGGAGCACATGACTGTAAAACTGCCGCCCAGTTCGGTGGGTGTGGAGCACATGACTGTAAAACTGCCGCCCAGTTGGGTGGGTGTGGAGCACATGACTGTAAAGCTGCCGCCCAGTTGGGTGGGTGTGGAGCACATGACTGTAAAACTGCCGCCCAGTTCGGTGGGTGTGGAGCACATGACTGTAAAGCTGCCGCCCAGTTGGGTGGGTGTGGAGCACATGACTAAAACTGCCGCCCAGTTGGGTGGGTGTGGAGCAAGACTAGTAACTGTGCAACTCACCATAGATGTAAAGTGTCTTGTATAGTGACTGTGTGGTGTGGTATACCAGTCCTTAAGCTATACTGGTATACCATACCAGCCCTTAAGCTATACCATCACCCATCACAATACTGGTATACCATACCAGCCCTTAAGCTATACCATCACCCATCACAATACTGGTATACCATACCAGCCCTTAAGCTATATTGGTATACCATCACCCATCACAATACTGGTATACCATACCAGCCCTTATGCTATGCTGGTATACCATACCACCCATTGCAATATTGGTATACCATACGTCACTGGTGTTCACTGGTAAATAGGCAAGCTAATGGGAGGGGGTCAATAGATTTGTTAAAGGACGGAGCACAGCAAATTGTATAGTTAATTACTTGGCTAATGACACAGCTAAGTACTCCGTATTTGTTGACATCAAAAGAGCCTTCGACAAAGCACAGGGGATTGCGATCCTGGACGAGCTTGCATGCATGGGTGTCAAGGGGAGACTCATGAAATAGACTGAAGGGTTGACTAAATAGCTTTCCTCACAGGGAGGAAAGCCAAGGTCTGCCACTTTCCGGGTCTTTGATGGTGGCCGACAAGTTGCCACCCGGCCCGTTTAAATATTTAAAATAATCCAGGGGATTTTCAGAATATTTTACTGTAATCTGTACCTGGTAGTTTTAGTTCAGGCGTTTTAAAAGTAGCAACGCCACAGTTGATAGGAATAACGTTAGATTTCTTACGGCATCATTTCTAACATATTAAACTAACTTCATCCATATTATCTATCGTAGATGGTAATATGGGCTAATGCTTTTATGCCATGCTAGTTATCAGCATGGCCTTAGCCATATCATCACTGCCTGCGGGCACCCAACTCGCTCTACTGGATCTTAACTCTTGCAACACTGGATCAAGAAAGTAAATAATAAAATAATACATTAAAACATTTTGCATGAACTCATTTTTTTGTTTGTTTAATATTGCGAGGAAGTTACTGTCCCACCGGGGGCGACTGGGCACCCCGGGTTGTAGCGAGGTGTTCATCTTTACTAATTGTCTAAAATATAATTGTGTTCAAACATCGTGACAGTGCAAATGTCATGGGGACTTAGTAAGACTTCTTGTACATTATTGTCTAGTTACGTAGCAATGTGTCGCCTTCACCTGTGCTTGGATTTGTCGTGTTCTCGCGACCAACTGCCCCAACACCCGGATTCATGGAGGATTTAAGTGCCATCTTACGACACTTGGACATCTTTTCTCAATCATGGCAGCTTAGTTTACATTTACTAAACAGTTTACGAGCTCCGAAGCGCTACGAGGTTGTCTATAATAACAATATTGGGTTATGAAGTTTAGACGTTCGTAAAGTGCTTAATAAATGCAGACTTCACGGCCATAATCTAGGAATGATGTATAAGTTTCTTCAGTAGACACGCAAGAGCTTGGTGAACCAAAGCCCAGCTACTCTCCCCCAGAGAGCCTCCACATCTCGGAAAGATTGTTTAGGAGTTTCCAAACGGCGCGCGTGATGGTGGCGGGTTTCAAGTTCAAGTACGTTTATTGAGACAATAAAAAACATCTCAAAGGGATAGAGTAGCTTAGGCTATTTCTACCCTGGTGGTGGTGGGGAGGTGGTGGTAGGGAGGTGGTAGTGTGGTGGTGGTGGTGGTGGGGAGGTGTGGTGGTGTGGTGGTGGTGGGGAGGTGTGGTGGTGTGGTGGTGGAGGTGTGGAGCCGCACTCCTTCCCGTCACTTATGCCACACCCGCTAATAAAGGTGTCACTTAAAAATATCACAAGCAGAGATTAAGTGTTGCCGAGATGACGACTGTGTGACTGGTGACTGTGTGACTGGCGACTGTGTGACCAGTCACACAGTCACCAGTGGGGGGGCGGGCTGGGGGGTGGGGGGGTCGGG